GAGCCTGCGCGTCCGGAGCCTGTGCTCCGCAAATGGGAGAGGCCACAACAGTGAGAGGCCCGCATAACGCAAGGAAATAAAAAAAAAAAAAAAAAAAAGCAGAAGGGGCTGCTCCTTTTCTTCCTCTTCCCTGAGCAGATGCACTGTCCCTTTCCCTGCCTCATTTTCCTTACTGACCAAAGAAAGCCAAGTCCGGCTTTCATCTATGTCGCAGAGTATTGGGGAACTTCTGGAGCGTCCCTGTGATCATTTTCAAGCTTCAGATCAGTTAAAAAAAAAAAAAAAAGCCTCAAGATCAAACGAGGGTTGTTAACCTACAGATGAGTTATTTGAAGAGGGAGCAAATATTTGTTTGGTGTGCTTGGCACTGTCTCATTTAACCCTTACAATCACCACGAGAAGTAAGTATTCTCACCTCCATTTTACAGATAAAGAGAACAAGGCTCCGAAAAATGGAGTTGTCCAAGTTCACACAGCTATTAAGTGGCAGGGCCAGTGTTTCAACTCAGATATATTTAATTATGAAAACTTTTTAAGAGTCTCTATGTTTTGCCCAAGTAATATAAAACAAGAAGTGAGCTTCCCCTTCCTTTACATCCAACCTTCCTAGCGGATATGGACCAGACAGATGCCATCCATCCACATGGCGGTGTATCCCAGGAATAGCGCAATGCTATAGAAGAGCATCTCCCGCGGTCCAGGTCCTCATTCATTCTGGTAGGAAGATATTATGAGGGTGCAGACACTGCCCCTCAAAGATTGAGCCTCCTCAATCCCATTTTTCTTTTGGCCCTCGCCAGTGGTGGTGCCTACTGACTGTCCTGTGTCTTTATCTCACCGGGAGAGTGTTTTCTGGGACTGCTGGAGGTGCCGCAACCTCTGCCCTCAGACAGCTAGCTCCCTGAGCAGCTCAGGGCTCCATGCCTCCTCCCTGATTCTAGTGATTTCCAGCAACGGCTGCCTTGAGAACTTGCTCTGTTCTGTAATTCTTCTTGCTGCTGCAGTTCTACGTCTCTCTGCCTCTGCACCTCTGGTACAGGGGAGCTTAGGCAAGGACTTGCTTCCATCAGCCCCTCTCACTTCCAACAACCGGCTGCTGCCCCAGCCCTGTCTCCTCTCTGACTGGCAGGGGCCCCAGCCCAGCCAGGAGGCAGGCTTCTCCCTGAGAAACCTCTGCCTCCGCCACCCCTGCTCGCTGACCAAGGACTGACAGGCTGCTCTGTTCGCAGAGGACACCCAGGCTACACGATGCTAATTAACCCCCTGAGGTAATTAGGCTGTAATTGATTTTCCCAGGGAACATAGCAGCAGGAGTTGGAGGCCCTGAGCAGTTGGGTCTCCTCTTGATGTTTTTCAAGTAGAGGCTGTGGAGAAAGAAGGAGTATCTTGGGAGAGAGACAGACCCGCACCGTGTCTCCAGACACTCGGGGGACAGCATTCAGGACAGCCCATGTGAGCTGGAGGAGACAGGGCTGGAATGTTTTATTCACTTTCATCCTGCACCTCCCACCCCCAATCTATCCTCCTCTCCTTATAAAAGTCATTTTTCACGTTTTTAACTCTTCATGTTTGAAATAATTTCAGACTTATAAAAAGGTACAAAAATAGTACGAAGAACTTTCATATACCCTTCACCCAGATTCTCCAGAATTAACATCTTGCATAACCACAGTACAATTATCAAAATCAGGAAATTAGCAGTGATAGAATAAAGCCATCTAATATACATGTCTTATTCACATTTGCCAGTCGTCTCGCTGATGTCCTTTTTCTGGTCCAGGCTCCAATCCAGGATCACATGTGGCATTCCATTGTCATGGCTGCTCAGTGCTATAATCCTCAGTCTTTGTCTTTCATGACCTTGATACTGTGGAAGAGCACGGGACCATTACTTTGTAGAACGTCCCTCAGCTGGGATTTGTCTGATGGTTCCTCATGATTAAATTCAGGTTATATAGTTTTGTCAAAGAACACTAAAAAAACTGTAGGGTGCATGTCCAAAGGACACAGGAGTCAACTTGATTTGGCCCTAGTGGCCAAATCTGGGGCAATGTAAGCAAGAAAATAAATTATAATACAAATGGACTATACTCAAGAGAATAATATAAGAATCTATGGTCCTTATTGATATAATAAATTAATAACTAATGTGGGAGAGAGGAAGCTCCTCTTTATACTAGAACTCCAACTCATAAGTGTAGAAGGACTTAGGGAAATAGAAAATCACCATTTGGCAAAATTCACAGTAATAATTGTTTCAGGCAAGAATGGCCAATGAATGCTAAAATTAGCAAGTGAAAGTATGATGAGAAATAGGATATTTATATAGACTCAAGCTATCTCCCCACAAGATATGTATTAATTACAACAAGAAAATGAGTTCAGTATACTTTCATATGCCCTTTACAGTGAAGAAACCTCGTAGACAGTGGTTAAAGGGTTAAGATTCCTTAACCAAGTGATCAAAGTTAACCACCGGTTATGGGAAGAATCAACCTCAGGCACCTGTCCGTGGGATGCGCTGAGAAGAAGACGACCTCATTTCTATGGCATTTGTTACCAAAAATGTATAATTTGTTAAAAGTAACTTTTAAGAAGAATCAACTCATTTTCTTTACCTCAGCTTTCTTGGCTAATTCCTTGATGTTGGCATAGATCTTATTTTTCTGGAATGGTGCTGTCCTGCCCGGGGCAGGGAATTCTATGAGCTTTGTGCCCTTTTATACATACCTCCCTCTTGTCTCTGGCCCTTCCTTATCTGCAAAATGTGTAGCCCCCTCAGTGCATGCCCACGTGCAAACAGAAGCCATTGACTACAAAGATCTTTCCTGAGGGAGAAGAGAAGGATTCTCTGATGGCCCATGACAGCTACTGGGAGCAGCAGAATGTCCAGTGCTGGAAACCAGTAGGGAGTGGAATGGTGCTGTCCTGCCCAAGGGCAGGGAAATCAATGAGAGGACCTCAAAGGAATTCTACTTTAGGAAAAGGAGTGAGCTCAAGCTCAGTTGGATGAACAGCTGTGTTCTTCCTTAACCCCTGCTAACCCAACTGTCTCCATGGCAACCAATTCCTCCCCTAGAGACCCATGTCTTATGGCAGCTCCATGTAGGACAAGTCTTACAGCAGATTGAATTTCCCAGTTTGCATCACCTTCAGGTTAGGACCCCCTCAGGATTCACCGTCTGCTGCTTCTCAGCCAGCCCTTGGTGTGATAATGACGCTGTCCCCTGTGGGAGGCATCCCAGGCTGCTCCCATTCCAGCTGTCATCCTGGGTGTCTGTGCGCTTGTCACCTGTTCAACCCCCAGTACAGGAGACGACGTGCAGAGGTTTGGAAAGCCTGTGAGATGCCAGGCAGCCATGTTTCTGTCCTTCCCAGCGTGTGCTTCAGGACCTGCTGCGACATCAAAGTGGGGGATGTTAGGAGCCATCCCCTAGAGAGAAAGGAAAGCCCAGAGAAAACATTTCCCAAGAAACTGTGAGTGGGCAGCATCCAGCAGAAAGGGGAAAGAGATCGAACATGTTCTTGGGAAAAGAAATTTAGAAAGGACCAAGGGGCTTTGGAGCTCATGTGAAAGAGGTCTCCACTCAAAGTGAGTGTATTGATCTCTGCTAGGGTTGCAGTTACAAAGCACCACGGGGGAGCTTAAACAACAGAAATTTACTTTCTCACAGTTGGAGGCCAGGAGTCTGACATCCAGGTATCAGAGGGTTGGTTCATTCTGAGGGCTGTGAGGAGAATCTGTTCCATGCCTTTCTCTTGGCTTCTGGTGGTTTGGGGCAATCTTTGGTGTTCCTTGGCTTGTGGAAGCAACTCCCCAGTCTAATCCTTCATGTCCACATGGTGTTCTCCCTGTGTGCATGTCTGTCTCCAATTTTTTTTTTAAATAAGAATGCCAGTCATATTTGATTAGGGCCCACACTAATGACCTCATTTTAACTTGATTATCTCTATAAGGACCCTATCTGCAAATAAGGTCATATTCTGAGGTAATGGGAGTTAGGGATTCAATATATGA